GCGGGGAGAGAAAGTGAGAAAGCAAGCCACCAGGTCCAGGACTAAAACCGCAGTTGGGTCACATGGAATCCAGTGCCTTTAATCACCACGCCACCTACCGGCCATCTCTCTTTCTTGTTTTAATGCAAAAATGCATCATGACTTTTCCAACAACCCAATGATAATTTAAAAGTCGTTAGACTAGCTTTGTGGCCTAAAGAAGCCAGGTCTTACATGGTCAGCCCCACAGTTACAGCCCTGGAACCCGGGGCTTGAAAAGCCACACCAGGCTCAGGTAGCCTCACTCTTCCCCAGTGGGGGCGAGATGGGGAGGAGTGACACTGTGGACATTTGCCATGGGGCTGCTCCATCCTCTCTTCTCATCTCTGGTGAGCACAGGCACCCTCTAGCCAAACTTAAAATAGGACAAAAATGTTTAGATTTTCTAAAAGCCATTAATGTTTAAATGTGAAAATATCTTATTTCAGTGAAGTTCTGATTCATATTGGTCTTTTTTTTTTTTTTTGAGAGAGAGAGAGGTTTTGTTACAGGTGTGATTTTCAACCTGCTGGGTATGTGACTTGAACTGTGGTCGGCCTCATGGGAGTCCAGCACCTTAACCATCGTGCCACCTGCTGGCCCCAGCAGTTTTTAACTTTAATACTGGTCTTAATGTAACTTTTTCTTTTTTTTTGAGAGTTTTTTGCCATAGGCCACGTGCGCTCACCAGACAGGCAGAGACAGAGAGACAGAAAACAAGAAATCACCCCCCAGGGGGGGTGGCCATGTGGCAATCCCTTTCCTCTCCGGATCTTGGGCATGCATGCACACACGCCCAGCTTGAGTTTAAGCCACCAGGTCTGAGACTTCAACCACGGTCGACTACATGGGAGTCCAGTCCAGCGACATAGCTTTTATGCCAACTTGTGGTCCCTCGTTTTTTTTTTTTTTTTTCTTTTTAAAGTGTTTTGTCATAGGATGCATGTGCTTGCCAGAGAGAAGGAAAGTAAAAAATCACCCAGTGGGGATGGCCACACCCCAACCTCTTCTCCATTCTCCTCTTAGGAATTTGAACATGAGGGCCGGTGTGATTTTCAAGCCTTTGGGTCAGGGACTTGAACCACCGTCAGCCCTGTGGGAGTCCAGCCGTCTCTCCCAAGTGGCTGACCACAGTTCAGGTTCTGGACCTGGTGGCTTGCTTTCTCACTCCCCCTCTCTGTGTGTCTGTCTGTCTCTGATGAAATGAATAAATGAATGAGCAAATAAAATTAAATAATTCTTAAAAAGAAAGTGCTGCTTTTACCTTTGAGGTCTTTCAGCCGTGCACGTTTTGAGATCAGACACCCTGAGCTGACAGATCATGCCAGTAGGGTCACACCAGACGCGGAGGGTAGTCCTCTCTTGGTGGGAGACACTTGACGTTAGAGGTTTTTGCCATAGGGCACGTGTGCTCACCTGAAAGACAGAGACAGTGAGAGGGATGGTGAGAAATCACCCCGCAGGGAGGATGGCCACATCACCGTTTCTAATCCATTTTTCTCCCAGTGTCTTGGGTATGCACACGCACATGGCTTGCGTGATTTTGAAGCCACTGGGTCTAAGACCTGAACTGTGGTTGGACACGTGGAAGTTCAGTGACATAACCACAGCATCCACTGGCCCCAAAACACACTTTTTTTTTTTTAAGAGGTTTTTGCTATAGGGCACGTGTGCTCACCAGACAGACAGAGACAGAAAGTGAGAAATATGGACACACCGCAATCCCTTCTCCATTCTCCTCTCGGGCTCCCGGGCATGCACACACACGCGCCCGGCGTGAGTTTTAAGCCACCGGGTCCAGGATGCGAACTGCACTTGACTACGTGGGAGTCCAGCGACATAGCCATTACGCTAACTGCTGGTCCCAACGCATTTTTTTTTTTTTTAAGAGAGTTTTTTTTTTTTTTTTTTTTTTTTTTTTTTTTTTTTTTTTGCTATAGGATATGTGTGTTCATGAGAAAGACAGCAAGAAGTCAACTCCGGGAGAATGGCCATACCACAATCCCTTCCCCATTCTCCTTTTGGGATTTCGGGCACACATGCACATGTGCCCAGTGTGAGTCTAAGCCACTGGGTCTGGGACTCGAACTGTGGTCAACTACGTGAGAATCCAGTGACGCACACTTGCCTCCATCTGCTGGTCCCACAAGAAGACACACTTGTAACCAAATATTCTTCATGTCCCCCCGTCTGCAGCTTTGCCTCCTCCAGCAAATCCAAAGTGCAGCCACTGCCCTGTCCCAGCTGCATCATGCCTGGATCCTTGGGACTGCCCTGTGAGGAGTGGGGGCTAGAGGGTAGCAGGGGTCTGTGGGTGCGGCTGTGGTGCAGAGCTGGACCTAGGCCCCAACACACATAATTCTTTTTGTTAATTATACTTGTAAACAAGAAAG